TTTCTCAAAAATGAAAAATTATTCATATTTTTGTATTAAGATATTTTATGTTCTATGGATTTAATTTTTGATTTGGTTAGAAGTTAGAGAATTCTATATGGTTTTTTTTTTTAGAAAAAATTGTCTTAATTAAGTTTAACATACAATTTAACATTTGTTTATTTTTTAAGATACATTGAAATATTTTAAATTCTTTTATTTCTAGGTTGTTTAATTTTTAAGTAAGGTTAGAAAACTTTATACGCTCTTTAAGGATTTGAATTTTTCAGATTAGATGCTACATTTATATTCCTAGTTATATAATTTAATATTTTAACAAATTGTTAATAAAAATTTAAATAAAAAAAATTTAAATAAGAAATCAATCTAAAGTTAAGACGTTCAAAATCTTCGAGATTATATTCATAACACCTAGACTCATTAAGAATATGAGTATCATAAGTTATATCGCTCTTTGATCCATTCTCACTTACAATTAGAATATTGTTCCACGATCGGTGGTCGACCTATCAACAATATCTTTTTAATAAAATCGAGAGCATTCAATATAAATTCCTACTATTTGCTTTCATTATGGGTTCTCTCATGTCATTATATAATCACGTCTGAACACTTATATTAACTCGTCTAAATTCTTGTGCCTTGAGAGATGCGACATAGACTGATGTCAGTCTCACTATTTTAAATTGTCACTTGTCCGGAAACCTTTATTTGCAAATTATTTATTTAATCAAATTATATATATATATATATATATATATATATATATATATATATTTGCGTAAATTATACTATTATATATATTGATTCAATAATTCAACAAATTAATGAATTAATCTTTTGATTTCCAATTTTTTTAAACGAAATGCATGTATAGTCAAAAATATTTATACACCATTATATTTATTATTACATGAAATATTAATAATTAATTAATTTAGTTCAAATATTTTTAAAATATTGTATGATTACAAATATTGGGTAACAAATAAAACTATCTAAAAGGAAATATTAAAGTCTGTTAAAAAAACATTTCATTATAAAATAAAGATGTATAGAAATATTTTCTATAACTTTTGGACATAGATTAAATATATTTTTTTTATTTGTATATATTTATTATTTGTAAAGAATTCTCATTTATTAATAAATAAATAAAGGAAAAATATATCAAAGTTATTAAGTATTAAGATAAAAATATATCAAGTAATTGAAGTTTATGTCAGTTCTATCTTTGTCACACCGTTATATTCTATTCGCTTTATATAAAATTACGGAAACTAAAATCACTTATATCTTAATAAATAAGAAACGATATATTTTTATATATCCTTGTTTAAAAAAAAAATAATTAAACATATACGCAGAAATCATCTAATTCAAAAAATTTTCTTATTCAATTTTCTCGAAATCTAATTTTTGAATGAAAAAAAATTTATCCAAATAAGAATTAACTATTTTTAAAATTTTCAAAACTTGACTTATTGAAAAAATTTTATTTCATATTTTCGTTTCATTTTGAATTCTCTATTATATCTATAGTATCTTCCTAACCTATATTTCTGATTAAATCCTACGCCTTAATTTCTCATTGTCCTCCATAAATCGAAACATTCCTATTTATTTAACAAACTCGTCCGCCCATTTCTGTCCAAGAAAATTTTTGAAAACACGGAATAACACAGAAATCGCGTGCGAAGCAACACTGTGAACCAGTTTCGATGATCGTCTGTTAGCCTAGACGTAACGAACGTGCGACCTGGCCAATTAAATTCAATCGAAACTGAGTGAGCCGTGTCAATGTACAATCGTAACTCCACGTGGCTTCGATAGAGAAGCTATGCGATTACTAAGAAACAAGAGTTACTCGAGAGATACGATTCAACAGTGGCAATTATCCACCGAGAAGTCGTTTCACGCGATTGGAATGATGAAAGTAGGTTTTTCACGTCGTCATCCAATTTTCAAAGATTGCAAAAGATCTGTCTAGTTTACGCGATATGAGATAAAACACGGCTTCGTCATCCGTTAGATTTAACAAATTGTGAAAACATTTAGAAATTAAAATAATTTTGTGGAATTTATGAAATTATATGACTAAAATTTAAAATTTAACGAAGAAAACTTCGGCGTAATTTAAAGAAATAGTAAAAAAGAATTAAAGAAAAATACTAACTTTTTTTCTGATATAGGATTTATAGAAGCTTATATAAGGTTCGATAAATGTTATTATAAAAATTGTTAATCTGGGTAATAAAATATTTTTCCTGATGTTGGATTTATGTGAGAATGTGAATGATAAAATAATAAAATTTTCTTTTTCAATTATTTATGAACTAGAATAAATTAAAATATAATTACTAAGCCATTAAGTTTGTTAACAATGGAAGAATTTATTTTTTTCAAATGTTTATCAAAAAACTTTAACGGATATAACTTTATATATAACTAATAAAAAAAAATTGTTAAGCATTTAACTTACATTTAACAATTAAAAAATAACATTTAACAATTAAAATAACATTTTTCTTCTAAGAATTTTCTTTGTAAAATTTAAAATAGAAAAAATTAAAATAGAATAATTTCAAAAATTATTGAATTGAATTATGAATAGTTTGCAACGATTATAACAATTAAAGCAATATTTTTTCTTTTGAAAAATAAAATTTATCGAATACCTTGACAAATGTAATCTTAAAAATTATATAAATTTAATAATAATAATTGTATAATTTTAATAATAACTTACAAGTTTTTTAATAACTATATTAATAATAATAAATATCATATAAATCAATAAAAGTCAAAGTAAAAAATTTTTTTCTTTCTTCGAAATAAAATAAGAATTAAAGTAAATATTTCTTTTTTTTTTTTTCAAATTTCAACAATTCTAAGAGTTAAAAGCAACGTTACGCGTCATTTCATAGTTGAGATTTTATCGGAAGAGCCGATGAATCGCAATTTTTAAAAGAATCATTTCTCTAAATATAGCGATCGTAATTCACAGCCAATTAGAAGCCATTGATCCCTTGATTCGCTGAGCTAACCGCAAATTATATATATTATATATTATATATATTGTATATCTATACATATTGTATGCACATAGATGAAAATAGCTAGATATCCAATACAAGTCAATAACCTCTGGCAAATGGTCTAATATAATTTAGCAATATACTGTAATGTATAATAATACAATACTACATAATACATAGTTAACAACATACCTCATCCATCAGCTTTAATATTGCTTTTTTATTTAAACCATTACCAGATATCAGAATAATTTCTCAATTTGTGATAAATTCTAAATAATAAATTCTTTTTGTCGTAATATAAGCAACAATGATATACGTATATTATTGGCTATTATCGTTCCTATCTAAGAATCAATTATATTGTCAACTTTATTGTTTTTCATCGTGCACGTTTTAACACTTAGTTACTGCCAATTAAAATCGAAATTAGCTTGTCTTCACAGGAATATTTGTTTCGAATATTAAATGGAAACGAGGAAGGGGAGGAGAGAAAGAGAGAAAAGAGAGAGAAAGAGAGAGAGAGAGAGAGAGGAGAGAATTCAATTGAAATATTTTTACACGAATTAAAAGCAAATAAATGTATATTTTTTGATAACTTTATTTCCATTTTGCGATTATGTATCATGTCGTGTAAAGTAATTGGCCTAGATAGATACAGTGCCAGTGAAAAAGTTTGGAATCGTTAAATATTGATTGACCAATTTTCAACATTTCATATTTAGAAAATTATTAATTAAACAAAATTTTCGATGCACCTTTTATATTTTCTTTGCCGTTATAAAAATAATTTATTTAGTAATGTAATTAATTTTATAATTCGTAAAAACTTATGACTCATATTTTTCATTATTGATAATTTTTTATTGATATTCAGCATAAATATTTACAACAATTTCTTCTCTTTTTTTTTAATACGATTTATTAATTTTATAGTAAATCGATCTAAAAATTACATAAGAAAATTTTTTCTTCAAAAATCTAAAAAATTAATGATATCTGCAATATTGATTTTAAATTAAAATGAAACTGCAATTTCTATAATTGTTAAATATATTATAATATATTTTGTATTTTTTATATATATAATCGGTGGTTATAGAGATATTTTCAAATAAAAGTTGTTACTGTTACATAGAATTTTGTCTATACGTATCCATGATAAAATATGCGTCAGTAAATTATACGACTGTCACTTATCAACTGTTTATATAAATATGTATAAGTAGCTGATACCCAAAATATTTAACGGGTGAGCTATAATATCACGCTTAATTATCTTACAATTATTTGTCCAACAAATATTTGAGAAAAGAAATTGCTGTATTTTGAAAATGGACGAATATAATACAATGTCATTTACTGATGAATTTTCAAACATATGAATATTTTAAAACACAAATTGTGAATTATCTGTTAAAAAAGTTTATGCCATATCGTGCACAAATTATTTATCTTGTCAATTTTTTCCAAAAGAAAATTACACAAAAGTCGATTTAAAAAATAAGCTATACACAAACCTAACCTAACTTTTCCAAAAAAAAAAGACTTACACAATTTTCATAACGAATTTACGATCCAAAATAATGATCGTCGAATCGGATCTCAAAGTATCCCATCTATAATTCCTATCTAAAGAAAAAAAATCGAAAGAAAAATAAACAGCGAGCACCTCATTCAAATCTAACTTAAGATAATAAAAATCGTAACTCGATTTCATCACGATTTCAAAGGAATCCAACGCCACGACCTCTACGCGTAATCTATTACATCTAATCTAGAGGGAGACGAGACAAGGAAAAGCGAGACGCGGACGAGCAGCGACGTGAAATTGAAGTGAGGGGGAAGAATAGGGCGGGAGGGAGGGAGGGAGAGAGGTTTTCGCGGCGAGAGGAGGGGGGCAAGCCTCTTACACAGATTTATATGTAACGTTCGACAGGCACTCGCTAGCCATTGCGAACCGTGTTCGCCAATGCGATAGTGTTTTCTCGTTTATCGTTCGACGATATCTCGGTCGGTCAAGCGAGAAGGAACCTTGGATACGAAATTTCGGCCGAGACCTTGAGACGAGCCGAGTCGTTTCGTCAAAGTTGCTCGAGTCAGACGCGCTACTTGGCTCGCTTTGCGCCGGTTGTTCGTGCACTGCCGACCGACATATCGCGAACGTGAAAGAGAAAGAGGAAGAGAGAGAAAGAGAGAGAGAGAGAGAGAAAGAGAAAAAGAGAAAGAGGTTTGAGATTCTCTTTTTTCTTTTTTCGGATTTTGTGGTCGATAGAGGGGAAGAGTTACGTATCGAGGAAGAGTATCGAATTGTTTGGATCGGAGGAGAGGAGGAGGGAGCCGATGTTTGGTAAAAACAGGAAAAAATGTCGGGTGAGACAGAGGGATAGTTTCGTGGCAAGTTCAAGGCTGAGAAGATTTGCGCGGTCGGCAAACTGGATTCATTGAGCGTGGACAAATTGAGTGTCGAGAGTGCGTGCTCGCCTGGATGAAGTTGCACCGAGCTACTGGATGATAGAGAGATAGAGGAATCGTTACGATAGACAGGTACACGATGCAATTTTCCAATTTATTTTGTAAGTGATTTTCTTAATTGGAACTGTTCTGATTCTAATTTTTTTTTTTTTTTTTTTTTTTTTTTTTCGTTCTAATCTATCGCTCGTTATCGAGAAAAATGAAATTTTAAGGAAGAACGAGCGAGTTAATTTATTATTTTTTAAGTTTGTTGGATTTTTAAGTTATGTTGTTTCGAATGTTTCCACGTAAGGAAATATTCTGATAATTTTTTTTTTAATTGATTTTTTGATCGTTTTGAACAGTGATAATTTCATTCTGATGATCATGTATTTGAGAAAAATGAAATTTCTAGAAGAGGACAAAATATGTGATTATTTTGGGATAGCTTTAAATATAGTTATTTTAAATATTTTTATTTCGAATGTTTATATAATCTTTAAATGAAAATTTTCTATATTCTTATAATTGAAAAGAAATACTGTTAAATAACATACTTTTAATTATTATATAAAAGCTATAATAGATATCTGATGTATATCATTTTAACAAGTGCGTGTTAGAAAGTTTTGATATTGAAATTATTCAATGAAATATGAGAAGTAAATATAGAAATATTTAAAAGTTGAATTAAAATTTTAATCCCTTGTATTAAAATCAAGATATCCATATATTGTAATTCTTGAAATTATTATGCCTCTTTTTATGTGTAATTTATTTGACTTTAAAGACATTACAAAAAAAAAATATATAGTCGATTCTCTATAATTCGAAAATTTTGAAATATTTATCGAATTAGTTGTCACATTGTTAAATTAATTTGCAATCTTTAAAAATCAAAATTTATTTTTATAAATCAAATTATACTCAATATGTCAATCTTTAAATTATTGTAATTTCGAAAAGAAATAATGATTAACTTGATCTCATATTAAAGGGCAAAGTTTAATATTTTCACGTATTAAAATTAGATTTTCTTAATACATATTTTTTTTAAAAATTATAATAGTTTAGAGATCGATGATTTTTTTTAATCAAAATTTTGTGATCTTTTAATTTTAAGTTTGAGTAAATCATTAAAGTTTCTACAAACTTTTCACTCAAATTGTCATTAGAATTCGATATTTTCACATGGCTCTTTTTTTTTAAATGATAAAATCGTGTCGAATGTCTGGAAATAATAAAAAACGAATTTTTTTTTTGAATCTTACAATTGAAAAAATATTTATACAAAAATATTTATATTTCTGTATATCAAATTTTTTTTTTTCAAATTTCAATGAGACGAAATCTTTATATTTCTTTCCCTTTAAATTCGAATTATATAAGATATTTAATGAAACATCATAGAATAAGATAACTTCAAAAATATTTATTTAATCTAAAATATAAATTTTAATAATTCAAAAAAAAATATAGATTTTGAATTATTACAGCAATGAAATGATATAATAGAGCAATTATTATATCATATAAAAATATTTGAATGAAAAAAATGTGGAATTAGATTGAACATATAAACCATAGAATTTTTTTTCGAATTTTCTCAAAAACTAGTTTTCAAATAAAAAATTTTATTCTACATTTTTTTTTTTATTATTTTCACATGTAGAATAACCTGCTGTAATTCATTCGTATCCAATAGGGAATTTCATTTGAAAAATCTTCAAATCTGATTTACTCGAATCAAATGAAAAAATTTTATTCTTTTTTTTTTTGTTTATTGTTGCAATCATTCTCAATTACTGTGCATTTATCCCTCATCGATATATCGTTCAAGCAGATATTTTAATTTCGTAATGAATAATTATAAATTTCGTTCTACAAATAATATAAACAAATAATATAAATTGTTTAATATTTTAATAGGAAATAAATTGTTCGGATAATAGAATATTCACCTTAGATAACGCACAGATAACACGTGTTCCGATAAGAAAAATATTATTTTTTTTTACTATAATCAGATTACGATAAAAATAATATTTAATAAAAAATATTAAACAAAAAAAATCAATTACTCGTATTCACGTATACACAATGGCGATAATGCAAGTAGAAATTATATTTATACGAGTTTCTAATATCCGAAAATCTATTATTCATATGTTCGAACATTCTATTTATTTATTTTATTATTTTATTATATTATTTTAAATTTTCACAATGAACAAGAAAAAATGATGAAGACACTTCATAATCTAAAGTATTTAAAAAAGGATAGTTTGAAAAACAGATAGAATCTAACAATCTCAACAAGTCAATATATCGAAGAATAAATAATTAAAAAATATATAAATAAATAAAAATAAAATATATAAATAAATATAAATATATATATATAATAAATAATAAATAATAAATAAATATATAAATAAATATATAAATAAATAAAAATATATTTCATTTATGTTATTTCTTGTAATTGTCATTACATTATTCTTTTTGAAATCTAAAATAAATATAAAAGTTGGCGTTACAAAAATATCTCTTAAGATTTATTCGACTTTAATTATAAACAATTGAAGTTTGCGTTAGAAAATATGATCTGTCTCCGTCACATCGCTGTCTTCAGTGTATTTCCATCTCGTTTCACCTAGCGCTAACTTCAATTGCTTGCAACCTAATAAATAAGCCTTAATCAACATTCTTATATTCTATACCAACTTTTCTATTCGTTTTGACATCTAGAATCGATATTCTAAACGTTGTTCCAACATATTAACATATCCTATACAATACAATAATCTTACTATACATCTTTCTATTATTTTAAACATTGCAGATTTACATTATATGTGAATTATATTTATGGTACATTTTAATTTTAATTAATTTTAATTTTTTTTTGTATACAAGAAAAAAACGAGATAAAAATCAAATTTTTTCATCTAAATTAATTGAATAATCGGAAAAACAGAATTTTCCTACTTATACGGTCACCTCTGTAAAAATACGAATTAAACGATCTGTTTCGATTCGAGGATTGATCGATCGATCGATCGAATCGAGATGAACAAAACTGCGATAAAAAGTATCCTGATGACAGATTAAATCGTTTCTGTCCTGCTCGAAGAGGCGAGCCGTGTCTCGACGAGTTTTAATGGAAAGCCCGTTCTTGCAGGTGGCTCGGAAGAGAGGAAAAGAGGTTTTCAAAAGTGCGGGGAGAGACTGAGACGTCTCTGTATCGGATTCACTTTACTCCAGGCTTTAACTGTCAACCGATCTACCGAACGAAATTCGACAGGTGAGTGAACGGAAATCGCTGGCCAATTTAAATCGTGATCTAATGGAAAATGGACGAGAATAAGTTTGAGATATAAATTAATCATTTGAGAAGGATTTATTTTTGCCGCTAATTGTATTGAATTATGTACATGTTTTATGGATGGAAATTTTATAGAAAAGTTTTTTAAAAAGATAGGATGAACGGCCCAGTTATTTGTTGATCAGTGAACTTTCAATAAATTGGAAAAGAAAATAGATAAAAATATCTGAAGACATGTTTTATATTATGAACATGTTTTATATTATGTCAATATACGTATTTGTTATATTTATTATATATTAAAAAAGAAATAAGTATATATAATAATAGCAAGTTAAATAAAAAGATAAAATAAATTAATTTAAATTGCTATATATTTAAAATAATAATTAAATCTTTATTTATCTGCATGGAAAATATAATCTATATAATTTTTCCATTTTTTTTATAGAAAATATTAAAAAAGGTTAATCAGGGATTAATAAAATAAAGATTTTATTTTATTTCATTTATAAAAAGTGTTATATTAAAAAGATATTAATTTTCTATATATTAGGAAAAATTAAATCAGAGAGGTTAATAAAAAAATTTTAATAACAAATTACAAGTATTAAAAAATATTATGTTTCTATATTACGAAAAATTAGGAATAAATAAGTAAAATAACAATTTGTTTTATATCTTAAGAATTTTTAGAGGAATAAAATTCGAAGATTTTCGAATGATTATTAAATTTTCATTAAAAACGTTTAATCTTAGATATTATACAGATATTAAAAATAGAAAACATGAGCCAAAAATTTTTATTTCGGTTCTGTAGATACGATTTACATAATTTCGAGATGCGAATGCTTACCATAGTTTGTGGTATTCCATCTTCATTTACTTGGACAGATTCTATTCACTCGAATTATGCTAAAAATACTCTTAAAATCTTATTCAATTATTAAAACGTTGAACATGGAAAGACTTTTAATACAGTTAAGCAAAGAAAAACAAAGAATGGAATGGCCGAGTTGTAAAAAGTTTTAGCAATTACAAATACCACTCGTAAATTTAATCGTTATTATCCATAAAAATATTTATTAAATATTAATTTTTTAATAGCAAATGTAAAAATACATTCTACTTTATGTTTAATTATTTTATGCACTTGTGCGTAATATAAGTAAAAATATCTCACTAAAATATAGCTATATTTTTCCTTTACAAATATACGAAACATCGTTTTGTTTACTTTAATCGTTTGCTCTAAAAAATTAAAATTGAATCAGTTATGAAAAAAATCTTCGTACTATCAAGACTATAATTTGATATGGTCTATATTTAGATACAACAGATCTATGATACAACATTCTTTTTGTCATAATTGTTACTAAAAAATATATATAAATACATTAAATAAGAGAATAACTATAAATTTGAAAAAATTTTTTGAATGTTTTATATATTGATATAAATACAGAAATTATCGTGACTTATGTTTATTCCTTACAGTTAAAATATTGGCTTAATTTAGATTCTCCATTTTTTTTATTTGATTTAAAAAAAAAATAACTAATACTCATTATAATTCATTTGAGTCAACAATGAATATCCAATAGATAATAAAGAAAAACTACCAGTTTCTTCTGTATTATATTAAAGCTAACAAATTGTTTCATTCCTATTTCTATTTTCTTATCTCATTTTGTTCTCGAAATATAAGCAAACGAATATTATTATTTTTCATCTAACCTTAATAGTAGTATTAAATCGTTCTTTATTTTCTTTTTTATCGACTAAGAATTATCGACCGAGTTTCCAAAAATTCGCAATAACACGCCACATCCACCACTTTCGTGACACAATATAATTTCTGTGAAACTGGCCGTGAAATCGAAATCGATCCGGAAAACGAGGCCTCTGAATACAAAAATCATTGACACGTTTCTGTATGCACGAATAACGATACGTTGACAGGTATGTGGAACACTTTTGAGAATCGCATAGTCGAAGAGTTTCTTGAACTCTGTCGATATTTTCGATTCGAAATGTCTCACGCATTACATTTATTGTTACATAAATGTGTTAAGACGTGACATTTGGGAAAATATTGAAAATATAACGAGACGATAAATAATTGTCGGATTATTGTGACGAATTGTACGAGAAACAAGGAAAAAAGATGTTTTATTATCACGCGTGCTATAACCTTATCATTGTTTGAAGATGAAGATTAATTTTTATATGTTTTTATCACTTAAATAGAGAGCAAATGATTTCGAGAATGTAACTTTTTATAAAAGACAAAAATATTAAGTTGTTGTATATAAAATAGCTTGTTAAAATTGATTTTTGCGCTTAAATTAAACAATTAAATTAAAAAAATGATTAAAATATAAATAAAAAAACTTTATAAATAATAATATATTATATTTTCGATATATTCGATAATATTTTGAGTGATGTAACGATATTTGGCTAAAAAGAATAAATATGGAAAAAACAATATAGTAATTGCAAAATGTAGTATGGAATGGCATATTAAATATATTACAAAATATATCATTAAGATTTTTTAATTTTAATTAAAAGTGAAAGGTTATGTTTAGCTCAAATTTTTTCATTCTCAAAATTCCATTTAAAAATTAAAAATGAAAAATCAATCATTTAAAATATAAAATAATTTAAGGCTTTTTAATTTTAATTAAAAGTGAAAGGTTATGTTATGCTCAAATTTTTTTCATTTTCATTTCAAAATTTCATTTAAAAATTAAAAATGAAGAATCAATTATTTAAAATATTAGTTTAAATCAAACGAATTTTAAACTTTCTATTTGATTTATGAATCATGCCAGTATTCTTAATTGATTAACGTAGCACATCTAAAACCGAAGTCTAACCAATCAATAACAATGGTAATTTACGATCATAAGAAAACGAATATATATGATATCGAATTATGAAACCTAAGATAAGAGATATTATGATATTATAACTCTTGCAATAATATCCGGCATAGGAACAAAATGAATAAGCCAGAAGTTTCGAAAATTTGATATGTTTTATTCAAGAAAGAAAAGATAAGTTGAATTAAATTTTTTTAAAATTTTCATTCATTAAAAGATCAAATTTCAATCGATCTTTAATAAAAATGTAGATTTACGATTTAAAAATTTGTGATTTAACAAATTGTAATTTGAATATTTAAATCATATTAAGTTGAGATAATTAAATTGTAAATGATATGATAGAATATGGAAATAATGATATATTACGATTTGTATTTGTATTTGAGAAGATTTTAGTTCAGAATGATCAAACTATAGACTTATAAGATTAAAGTAATGAAAAATATATAAAAGCCTTGGAGAGTATAGATAAGCATATATTGCTATTTATGCTTAAACATTTAACTAATTTTAAATTAAAATAATTTATAAATAATATAATATAATATAATATATTATAGAAATGGAATGATGAAAAATAGATGCCTTGCAATTCAATTTTAGAATAATCTGTAAAAGCAAAATAACAAAAAATAGACCAAAGAGTGCTTTAATGATAGATATAGATTTTAATTTGTGTTTAATTAAAATAGAACTGAATTGTAAACAACATAACAGCAAAATAATAAGAATTAGAATTAAAATGGCATCTTGGTGATATAATATAGACTGCTATTTTAACGTTTAATGGCAAATTATAATACGTTAAAATAGTGTAATTATAGAGGAAAATGATAAAACTTTCGCAATTTTTTCACGCAATCTTTCGAATTTTTTTACTTGAAATGTTGCAAAATGTAGAACACTGTTTTCTTCCAACGGGACGAAATCGCAATGTAAAGAATGTTCAATCAGAAGTGAAGTGAAACAATATTTCTCGCATTCTTCAAAATTAATCTTTTATCAAATTAATACATCGACCAACAATCTCTTAAGTAATCGATATTTCAGCGATATTCTGACATAATAATTTGACGAAGTGATCCGCAGAAGACGATAAATCATTTAATTTCAGGAAAGAGGTCAATTAATGGCCCCGGATGTGTACAACAAAGCTTTCAAGATTAATTATGGTGAAATTCTTTCACGATAATTATCGGTCGCCATTTTTCCACAATTATTCATTATCTCCCCTAAAATTCCTGAATACTTTCAAGGATCAAAATCAAAAGCGAATAATGAAAATAATTTATCACGTTTTAGATGTACACTTATCATTGCCATTGGCAAATTTCTTTATTCATTTTTTTATTTATTTATTACTTTATTAACTTAACTTTGTAGAAGTTGTATTAGAATGGAAAACTTATTGCTTATTGATACGTTGTAAATTTCAAGATAGAAATCGTTAATCTTTCTCAGGTGTATAAAACAATTTTATTGATCCAGCTTGTAACAATATGGGCAATAGTCGAAAGAAATAACGAATAGTAATGTACTTTCAGATTGGCGAAATGTGATTGATCAAATTATTGTTATTTTAATTACAACCTTCGCTTCTATCTCTGATAACAAGTATTGAAAAAACATATTCGATTGGTTTGATTAGTTGATACGTATAGCAAATTGAGTGTCATATTTTTTTTTAAATTGACGTAAATTATTCGAGATATTTCAAATTTCTTTATTTTGATGTAAACTTTATTTTATCGTATTAATTATGGAATATTATTCGAACGATATTTTCAACATATCTCAATTTATTTTAATCTTAATCTTTCCAGTTTCTTTATTTTTTAACTTCGTCAATTTGTTTCTTATTGATTATATCGATATAAATTTTATTTTTCAAAAAGAAAAAAATTTAAGAATTTCCAAAAAATCTATTTAAATTGTATAGATTTGGCCAATTGATGTCTGTCTTCTCATTCTCAAATTAATTTTAGAATTTTTCCTTTTAATTAACAATTGTTTTTTTTTAAATGTATAATAATAAAAAAGCGAGTTGAACGAGTTGAAAAATAATATTGTACCATTAATGAAATA